CGCCCCTCTGTTTCCAGAGCTGCTCGCGTCGGCCCAGCTTCAGTCCGGAGTTCTAGAAGCTCCTGCTCCAGGCCGACTAGGTGGGGCATTCTGCCCCGGGGCTTGGCCATACCTTGGAGGCGCCGACTCAGTTCTGAGGGAGTCAGGGAGCCAGGTAGACCAGGTAGACCCGGTCCACGCAGCCTGCAGCCGAGGGGTCAAAAGGTGGGGGCGGGTCCCTACGACCCCACTTCTTCCTCACTCACCCTCGCTGCGCCGCTGCAGAGCCCGGCCCTGGGCCTCGGTCTCTGCCACGCGTCGGGCGTGGTTCCCAGTCAGCGCCCGCAACCGCTCGCTTGGGCTTCCGGCCGAATCGGAGGTGAGGTCCTGAGTTAGCGCCTCTGACCTGGGGAACTCTGTTGCCCGAGGCTGTATTTGCTGCAGGGACAGCCGCAGACCCGGCACCTGGAGGTAACAGTGGACCAGGTCTCTGTGGCCCTAACCTGACATCTGTAGGTTCAAGACGTTAAGGTTTTCCATCCCCTGGGAAGCCGGTGGTATACCTTCTTCGGTTAGCCTTTAGAGCTGCTTTGCAATCCTCCTGTCTGGGGTGCCCAGGGGTACAGCCTGGGAGCAGGCTGTAGGATTCGGATGAGAATTTTGAGGGTTACCTGAATACCCACCCGGCTCTGGAGGAAGGCCTTACCTCGGAGGAGCCCCCTAGTTCAGTCTCTGTAGATGACCCGGCTCCAAGTGTCACCTCTTGGCTTGCGTTGCCAATGCAGAAGCGCTGGGTGTGGATGGCCAACAGAGCCCAGGAGCTGAAAACCATGTCACAGGCCCTGCAGGGCAGCAGCCTTGGTTCCCCAGAGGGCGAGGCCATTGGATGAAACCAGCCCAAACCTGTAGAAAACAAAGCCAAGGGAAAGGCAGTCTGTTGAAAGGGCTGAAAGACAAGGAGGAAAGGCCCAGTCCAGAAAGTTTCCAGTACTGCCGGGGTTTTGTTTGGGGAGGAGCGTTTGCTCCCTGGGCAGCAACAACAGGTCTGGGCAGGCCTAAAATGGGTGGGGAAGGCCTGGTCACCTTTGGGTGGAGTCCCTGGTTTGAAAAAACTCCCTAAGTTTCACAAAGCTATCTTTAACCTCATTGCATGATCTTGGACAAGTCAGGTTGTTTTCCTTGCTTATATTGATCAAATAAGGGGATAGACAGCTGCCCTCAAATAACTAGGCCCAAAAACAATCCTCAAGCACTCCCCCCCACCCCATCATCTTAATAGCATCTGGTAAGGAAATCATTGTTCTATTTTCAAGTGGACACAACACAGGGCTGCATGTTAATATTCTCAAGCCTGGGACACCTGGCAGGTCTGCCTAGAAAACCTCCAGACCAAGTAGCTAGCTCCTTCCAGCACAATACATCTCTGGGAGCCAACCACAGTTATGCAAACTAGGTATGTGTGTTAGTTGTGATGGGAGGATAAACAGCAGTTTCCCTTAATCTAGGAAGAGGTTTCTGGCCATATCACAGCCCCACCAGTCCAACATTTTCTACATGAAAATACATGGATCTACCAGGTTATAAAATGTAGGCGATTTGAGCTAGCTACACGTGGAATGAGAAAACTTTTCTAAACAAACCAGGGACTTAGGCCTCCTGTCTCCTACACACAAGGTAGTAACATATTATTAAGTGTTTCCAAGTGGGATGAGTGGGGCATAGCTTTCAAAACTTAGTAGAAACATGAAATTTTTTCACAAACTGAAGCCTTTTTGTATATGATCCTGTTGTCTTTACAGGCCGAGTCAGTTACAACTCACAGTGACTCCTCACAACTGCGTTTCTGCAGCCAGTTTTGATCCATCTCGTTGAAACTGCCCCTGTCTTTTTTTTTTTT